GAGGCAGGTAGGGGCGTGCGGGGCAGCGCGCGGGGCCGGGGGAGGAGGAGGAGGAGGATGATGATGATGAAGGCTCGGGGACGAAGGGGGCTTGTGGGAGGGGGAGCGAATTTGGGGTTGCTCTGAGAGGGGCTGCAGCCCTCAGACCATTTCTATGGGGTTTGTGGGTCCACAGGGCGCGGGGTTCGGTCCTTGTGGGGTTGGAGGGGGGGGGTCGGCCAGAGCCGGGGGGGGGGGGGGGGGGGGGGGGGGGGGGGGGGGGGTGGACGGACCCCTCTATCAGCCCCGCACCGCCGGCCTCCCTGCTGTGCTGCAGCTGCTGCGCTGTGACGGAGCTGTAGCCACGTTAATTGCAGTGATGTTAATTGTGCTGCTCCTGCCCTGCCGGCACCCCGTGCTGCTTTATGTAATGCAGCGAGGGACGAGCTGCATGCGTGCGTTACATAAATGCAGCAGCACCGCCCGCCCTGTGGGTCCCGGTTGCTCACAGCCCCCCAAAAATTTGGGTCCCCTATGGGGCACCCAAACGGTGCAGCTCTCATTGCTGAGCGTCACCGGTGCAGGGCTGCAGCTGGGGAGCAGTGCAGTGCGCAGCAGGGGGCAGCGGGGCAGGGCTGGGGTGCATTCACACCCCATAGGGGGGGTGCATGAGGGATGGGCAGCTCCTGCACCATTGCAGTGCTGGGTCTGCACGTCTACAAAATGCAGGCTGCACCACTCGGTGCGTTGTGGTGCTCCTTGCAGTGCTGCAGGGTTTGCAGCTCACGGGCTGCAACACGAGGGCTGCACTGCTCAGTGCATTGCAGTTCTCCTTGCACTGCTGCAGGCTTTGCACCTTGCAGGTCTTGCATTGCTCCTTGCAGTTCACAGTCTGCAACACGAGGGCTGCACTGCTCAGTGCATTGCAGTTCTCCTTGCACTGCTGCAGGGTTTGCAGCTCACGGGCACTGCATTGCTCCTTGCACTGCTGCAGGCTTTGCACCTTGCAGGTCTTGCACCGCTCCTTGCACTGCCGCAGGGTTTGCAGCTCACAGGCACTGCACTGCTCCTTGCACTGCTGCAGGCTTTGCACCTTGCAGGTCTTGCATTGCTCCTTGCAGTTCTCGGGCTGCAACACGAGGGCTGCACTGCTCAGTGCATTGCAGTACTCCTTGCACTGCTGCAGGGTTTGCACCTTGCAGGTCTTGCACCGCTCCCTGCACTGCTGCAGGCTTTGCACCTTGCAGGTCTTGCACCGCTCTCTGCACTGCTGCAGGCTTTGCACCTTGCAGGTCTTGCACCGCTCCCTGCACTGCTGCAGGCTTTGCACCCCACGGGCTGCAATGTGGGGGCCGAGCGCCTCCTGCCCCACTCATCTCGCTGCAGCGCTGCAGGATTTGCACCCCCCGCTCCGCACGCCGGGACGAATCCCCGCTGCACCCCGCAGCCCCGCCCGGCACCCCGGCTCCTCCCGGCCCCGCAGCGCTGCGGCACGGCGCCCATCTCCTCCCGTCGCATTTCTCCCAGCCCGGTTCCGCCCGCAGCGGGGCGGACGGCGTCGGGCTTTGGAACAAAGGGCCCTTTTTGTGCATTTGGGGCAGGGCGCAGCTGCGGGGCTGGGTGGCACCGTTGGCTGCGGCCCCGCGGTCGCTGTGGGATCGCGGGCAGCGCGGCGCTTTCGGCCCAGCAAGCGAAGCCGGGCGGGGGGGAAACGCCGTGGGACGGCGCGGATCCCAATGGGGCAGCGATCGGAGAAGAACGTCCCCAGGGCAGCCCGGGGGGCTTTCCGCCTCCTGCAGATCCCGGAACCCGACCCGTTCCGTCTGTGGGTTTAGGGGATGAGCTGCGACCCCGCCGAGCTGATCCTGCGTGCCGATCCCCGATGGGAAACCGCTGCGCTGCGCCACCGAGCGAGCGATGCGCGGCGCGTCCTGTTGTAGGGTGAATGGGGACGGAGCCCCGTAGGACCGCGTGGTGAGCTCGTGGGGTGGCTATGGGACATGGCGTGGTGGCAGTAGGGTGTAGAATGGGGGCTCAGGGTGATGGTTGTAGGGTGGATGGGGACGGAGCCCCGTGGGACCGCGTGGTGAGCTCATGGGGTGGCTATGGGACATGGCGTGGTGGCACTGTGGTGTAGGATGGGGGCTCAGGGTGCTGCCTGTAGGGTGAATGGAGATGGAACCCTATAGGACCCCATGGTGAGCTCATAGGGTGGCTATGGGACATGGCGTGGTGGCACTGTGGTATAGGATGGGGGCTCAGGGTGATGGTTGTAGGGTGAATGGGGATGGAACCCCATCGGACCCCGTGGTGAGCTCATAGGGTGGCTATGGGACATGGCATGGTGGCTTTGTGGTGGTCATGATGTAGGATGGGGACTCAGGGTGATGGTTGTAGGGTGAGTGGAGATGGAACCCCACAGGACCCCATGGTGAGCTCATGGGGTGGCTATGGGACATGGCATGGTGGCACTGTGGTGTGGGATGGGGGCTCAGGGTGA